TAATCAAAGCTACAAATGAGCTCAATCAGGTGTTATTGGGCTCAGCTGGAGAATAGCTGTTGCATGTGTATGCGCTGGCAGGATATGGGTGCTTGCTGGCTTCATTGCCGCAGCCCAATCCACTATGTCAGCATTCTGAATTCGGGTTTTGGCTCGGTACTGGCAACGCCTTGTGGGGATGAATCTCATTACTTCAGAACCACAAGCGCTGCGCCTGAGCAAAGCCTTGTGGGGATGAATCTCATTAGTTCAAAACCACAAGTGCTGCGCTCAACTCTGCCTTTATAAACTCGTGATGCCAGAGAGAGAAGTTGCGGTATGCTTTGCTGACGAGGGCCAACAAGCCTGTGCAGAGCTCGGCATCTTTTTTCTCTTGGCATCACATGGTCTATTGTTACATGTGAAGCCACTTTGGGGTTGCAACCTAGTATATAGAGTAAGGCCTTGCGGAATTTTATGCGCATGCGCAGTCTCAATTCGCGCCGCGCACTTCATTCTGAGCTATATAGATCTCTCTGGCTTGTGACGACTGTAGAGAAGGATGAAATCACTTTGCCTACTATTATTTTCTTTAGTTTGCTATGTGCAAGTAATATTGCCGAGGATCCCATTGTTGTAAATCCTACTCTTTCGCAGCGCATTGTCAAGAGTATGCTATTCTACGATGCATTGAGGTCAGTATTGGTGGAGGAGACCACCAATCCCGATGCTATCCCGCGGCTGTAGCATGAGCTACTACACGTCTGCAGGAGCCGGGTTCAAATGCCCACTAACAATCCCCACAGTCTCCTTTGTGATCCAGTTTACGATCTTTGCACAGATCCACCGAGGTATGCTAATGAACCTCTACTGATGAACCAATAGCTTATATAGCTTGTAAACCTTTTGCGTGTGTGTCTCCAGTTACCTCTCATTAGTCAATGCAGCATAAGCTGTGCAAGATATTTACTCTGCTTCCCAAATTATCATGATGATAGTGCACACTGCATATTTTAGCAAATAAGTGCTTTAGTGACTTTGTGCAAACAAATCAGGCTGCTGGGCAACTGATACTTCGTAGTGGCTGCTGAGCGCAGACTCAATACAGGCTAGAGAACCAAGATGCATTCGTTGTCCTCTGGTGGGACCTAGCAGTTTGAGCTACATGTCCCAGTGGTCACGATCTCCCCATGATTGCTTACGAGGCCTTGCTCAACACGTGGAGACCAGCGGGAGACAAGAGGCGGCAGTGGATTGATCTGTGTGAGCACAGCATGCTGCACGGAGGAGACTCTGACAGCACAGGAATCGTTGCTGCTGCCTGCTGGGGTGCCATGGAGGGCTACTCAGGAGTCCCAGAGAACCACTACAAGAACTTGGAGTATCGCAATCGCCTAGCCTCACTGGGGAAGAAGATTCACCAAAAGTTTGCAACTGACATAATAGGCAGAGAAACATAAGAATTGTAGCTAAAAGGATAGTTTATGAGACACTAATGTCCAATGCATTTAAAAATGTGTCAAGTCTGACAATGGTGTGTATTATTATGAAAGTGAATTCAGGATCTTGTCAAGATGTTTTGTTAGTGTGTTATGTTTCGGGCCTTTCTTGGCTGTCATGGTGCCTCTGCGAGTGAGGTTATCTCTCATAGCAGACAGCTTCTTCACAGTTGTTCCACTGGCCTTTACCTGGGATTGTAACAACAACAACCTCTCATTACTTTGCTATTGTTTGGTTTTGTACCCACCACTGTCTGCTATTATACTAGGTTATATAACTATCTGTATCAGCACTTATTACTGGTCACATTACTTCTGACGTGGAAAAGTGTGCAATCACGTAATGCACACTTAAGTGTGCGACTAGATAATGCACACTTTTACTGACGGGTTTGCTGCGCTTCGACACTCAATCTCCTATACGTGCACGTGTTGCCTTCTACGGGGCTACTTGACTTACTGAGAAGGCGGATAACATCGTTACTCACATCGTAGGCATCTTTCAACACGGGCGGTGCGTAGAACTTGGCCACAACACAACTGGCAAACTGTCTCTGCTCCACAACTTGAAACACCGCACAAACTAACATAGTCACTCGTGACAGACATTACTACAACAGTTAACAGGCACACGCAAGGCTCTACAGACTACAGAGTGTCTCTACGCTCAAGGTCGAACTGGCAGACAGGAAGGGTGCCCCTGGTCAACGAATAAGTCATGTGACCAGAAAAAAAAAACATTTAGCTAACTTTAAAGTTAGCTAAGTATGTTATAAATACTACTTATGCGCATATAATTATTACTCACTTTGAAAACAACACCATAAAAACTGAATCTACATTAATAATAATGCTGAGAGGGATTATAACATGTGGACACATTTGCATTCTATACAAGCCTTACTGTAGAACACATATTTTTTTTTATCAATCTAGGGGTATGTACATTTCACGGGACATTGTCATTTGACGGGACATTGTTATGATACTGTAAGTGCTCTCTTAAAAACATGACATATAGCAAGGCAGGGAGGATATAATCATTATACTATAACATCTGTATCATAAGTCAATGAACACATTCCTACATTGTTGTATCTGCTAGTGTAAAAGTCAAGGGCAATATTCATGGCTTCCTTCGTGGAGACCAACATGATCAAGTGTAAGTACACCTGCTGTACAGTAATTGTTCCTGTGCATACTGAGTGAGAGTGGTTTGAGGTTTGCCTTGTGTTGTGTTGTGTTGTGTTGTGTTGTAGATTCAAACCCCTACCAGTTGAGTTGCCCAGGTAGCTCAGTTGGTATACAGAGCGCTTGCCTAGACTGCAGAGTGTTGTGGGTTCGAATCCCATCCAGGGCAGCTCTTCTGCTTTTCTTTGAAAAGTAAGAGCTGTCCTGGGTGTAGTCGGCTTGTTTGCCTTGCCTTGCCTTTCTACCTCGTTACCAAGTTGTTGAGACATGCACACCCTAGGGTCATTGATTGATAATCCATGCTAGGGGTGTGAATCACCTTAGTTCCAGTGGCGCAGAAGGCCATGAGTTCCAGAGTGGACTGGACCAGTGGTAGTTGGGAGGTGTGGACTCTGTACACCAGGTCTGTGAGGACCTGCGCCGACTGGGGGCAGAGGAAGAGGCTGCTCCTGGTCGAGTTCCACTGGAGAAAACACCAAACAAAAAACACTCCATAATACGAACAATGCTGGGTCATTTCATGATTTCCACCAAGTGAAAGCACTCGGAGATGAAGCAAAGAACAAAATGAACATGTAGCTACTTAGCTATGTGCATCATGCTTTCCGTGTCTCCCACAAACACCAGGAGGAGAGGTCTTCTATGAAAATGAGTCATGGTATGTACATTATAGCTAACCAGGCCAGGCACTTGTGCACTAACACTAAAATGAATGCAACACACTTGTGGTAAGAAAACCGAGCAGTTAAATAGTATTTCGTGGGTGTTTCCGTGCGTATTTAGAATAACGTAAAGATTGGAGTAATTATGTGCAATGCCCATCAACCGTTACAGAGATAAAATTATGGGAAAATGCCATTGGCGCCGAAGCAAGAAAACTAAAGGCACCACCCCTACAGACACAAGCACAACAGATAGTTGATATCCACATTTTCAGGGCCAAACATTGTTCCACAGCAGATACAGAGGAGAATGAAAAACACAGTATAAAGGTACACCGGAGCTGATCTCTCTATCTGTCTCTCCCTCGTATAGGTGTGTGTGTTTGTGATTGGGAAATAAAAGATAGGGAAAGTGTAGGCAGGACCAAAGCTATAGAGAGCGGGCGGCTTTTGTTGGCGTTTCCGCATGCAGCCAGCCAGGTGCTAAAATGTACATGTAAACTTATCCACAAGTCCAGCAGCATGCAGGTGCAGTGCTAGACTCTTTGTTACTGGTCACCAGGAGAGTTCCCAACCTTTCATCATGTCACACGTGTTTCGGCCTCTTTAAACTCCTGACACATGAGACACTCCAGAAAAAGCGAGGCCACTCCACCTGGTTGGAGTCCATATTTTTCAACTACATGGCTACAATTATTGTACTTACAAACTAACCTATTATTACACAAGTGGAAAAATCATTTCTTCAAAATGAACATGATATAGGGATGGCTTGAAGCACCAAACAAGGGGTCATTACACAGCAACCCGTAATGTGGTGTAAGACAAACCATCCACATCATTACTGCATTGAGCATGAAAGAAAGCCACACAGAAGAGAGGTAAGTCTCTCTTCTCTCTCTCTCTCACCCTGGCAATGTTGGAGAGGACCCTGATGATGCCGGCCACCACCACCAGAGCAGCCTGGCTCCGGTTGGTCTGGTCTATCAGCTCCAGGAGAACTGGGAGACAGTCTGCCCCCACCAGAGCCCTGCTGCACGACTCACTGGCCAGAGTCATCAACTCTGTGTATATACAGATAGAGGAGAGTCAAACAGTAGTCAGTGTTAAGGCTGATATATGTAATTTTGAAGAGGTATTCTCAGTCAATACTTTACAGTAAAGAAGGTTTGCATAATATTGGTAACATTACAACATGCCCTGCTTGTGATAATTATGAGTGCTATTTAATGTGCTGTACAGCCGTATGCCACAAGGTACTGTACATATACACAGGCTATTGCCAGAGCTCAATGCAGGAGGATATGTTGTACCTCTATCATATCATTTGTCCCCAATATGCAGCAGATACTTTGCCCCCAAAGAATATGTATGCTGTTTACGGGACAATCTAAGTATGTTGGTAGGGGTCAACCCAGCAATACAATTCTCTAGAGCTAGCTCTGCAACTTACCTAGGGTGTGGAGTTGACTGTCCAAACTTGAGAGGTACTTGCACTTCTTGAGTCGTTGCAAAATGGCTGGTAGCCTGTGTCTGATAGAGTGGGCCCTCTGGGCTGAGGCGTTCACCTGCCTCAACCTCTCTCTCACTGCTCGGACTGCCGGGGTTGACTGCTTTTTGCGTACCATGCGACCCTTCCACATTGCCTGGAAGTTAAAGAAAACACTCTGAAAGTATGTAAAGTTATGTAGCTGGATTGAAGGCTAAATTGCTATAAATGTAAACATACCACATCATCTGGAAGTAAAGAACACCCAGAGAGTAAAGTTAAAGGCTAAAAAAGTAGTCATGCTTTGTAGTATGTGACTTCTCTTTAAGTAAAGTAAGTAAAATCAAGGTTATAAACATGCTACATAATACACGTGGCCTCTCCACATTGCCTGGAAGTAAAACACACTCAAGATGAGCTGCATCTGGTAAACAAGCCATGTTTGCTTCTATGTATAGGACTCTGGGTGATAAATACATGTGCCCTCTTTGCTGTGGTACTGCTTTACCTGAATGGCAAGAGCTGCCTTTTCCTGCTTGACAGCACACCTGATACTCTGCAACACACACAACAGTAACAGACATAGAAACAACACAAACATACTAATAGACAGAGACTTACAGTGAGTTGTCTCCTGGCAAGTGTTCCCCTCCATGCAGCCTGGAGCACAACAGCTGCCCTCCTCATGGCCAGGTAGTCTCCTCTGAGAGTCCTTGTCATGGACCAGCCTCTGAAACACCTCTGGACATACAGCACTGCTCCATAGAACCTCTGGTAGTACTGGAGGAACACACAGACACACGACTTTCAAACCCAGGTTTACGGTGGTATTAGGTGAGTAGCTAATGTACAGTGGGGGAAAAAATGGGTAGAAGTAGTTTTGCATCTAAACTGTGAACAAAACAAAGGGCACTACAGGAATACACTTTCATATAACAAAAGTGGTATGAGCTAATGTATATAGCAGTGGGGGAAAGCATAAAAATGCGTGGAAGCAGTCTTACCAGTGTTCAAAACACAAGGGAACACACATGCACACTTTCATTCAACAAAAGCTAAGTAAAAACAGTGTACTATTGCAAGAGGTAAGAACAAGAGGTAAGAAAGAGGTGTATATATGTATCTAAAGTGCAAAAAAAAGTGCCTACACAAGAATGTATTGAGCAAAAGTGTTACATACTACAAACCTGACAATCTTTTCTTCCTTCTCTGAGGGCGAGATAGCGTTCTTCAATCACCAGAGCAGCCCACTTTAACCTCCCCTGTTCCATCCTCACCTCCCTCCCTCTCCTTACAGCAGCGTACCTCTCTCCCACCACACCCACTGCCCACCGCAGTCTCTGGTACCTCCGTCTGTCCAACCACCCCCTCCACTGGGTCTGGATCACCACACACGCCTCTCTGGTCTGTTGGTACCGCCAGTAGACCACGTAGCTGCGATAGGCACTCTGGATGACTCTTGCAGCACTCTCCCTCCTTTGGTTCCCCTTGATAGTGTTCAGTAGATCCATGGCACGTTTTCGTCTGGTGTAGGATTGTAGTGTGATGGCTGCCTGCCTATATTTGCGATATCGCCTTTGGGCAAGGAAGGAACGAACTGCTGACTGAATGGTCACTGCAGCCCGCGTCCGTTTTATCTCAATGGCTAGAGATTTGAATCTCCGCATTGCCATCCAACGTCTGGTGTAGCACTGCAGCACTATAGTGGCTGACTTCAACTGCACAAATCTCGCTCTACTGACATGTCGTCTGTAATATTTCTGGGCTACCTGCACCCCTTTTATAACTTTTGAGTAGTGCTTCCTGGCCACCCAACCTCTGACATGAGTCTGCAGTGTAAGAGCTGCCCTCTGCTGTCTCAGGTAGTTTCGCCTGGTGACAAGACCTCGCCGGTGGGCCTGAGCAACAACTGCTGCAGTTTTCAATCTCTTGTACCTTTTCGATGCTAGGGCAGCTCGGGAGAAAGCCTGGATCTGAATTACGTGGTTCCTAACTGCCAGATACTTCTGCCTGGCTATTCTCCGGCGAACCACTGCCTGACACAATGTGATAGCTCTCCTAGTACGCAGGTAGCGTCGTGTACAAATGAACCTGAGAACACAGGCCTGACACTTCACTAGATGCTGAAGCCTTGCTCTATGCCGTCTCCTGTTGAGGATACCCCTAACCCTAGCCTGGAGGAGGATAACCGACTGCAGCACGTGGCTGTATCGCCCCATTGCCTGGTGCCTTCGCACAACTGACTGGCACACCACCACTGCAGCTCTCTCCCTCTGGTACTGTCTCCTGGCCAAATAACCTCTCACCGTAGACTGAGCTCGGGTGATGTGTGCCAAGTCTCTCCTGGACCTCCGTCTGCTGATCCAGCCCCTGGCGACAGCCTGCAGAAGAGTTGCAGCTTCTCGGCGACGTTTCCTCTCCAGAAATGCCCTCACTGCAGCCTGACAAGAGCGAATACTACTTACAGTGTGCTTAAACCTCTTGTGAACGAGATGACCCCTTACAACAGCCTGGCACTTTACGATGCTGGCCCTCTGTCTCTGGACTTCTTTTCTGAGTTGCAATCCTCTTGCATGTGCTTGTAGGCCACACACGGTAAGTCTGATCTTCCTGTACCGATTCCGTGCCAGGAACCTCCGGATGGCAGCCTGGCAGACAACCACACGAGTCCTAACACTGTGGTACTGCCGTCGTGCAAGGTGGCCTCTAACCAATGCTTGGATGTTGATGATTCTGGTGCGATCGTGGCAGTACTGCCTTTTTGCAATCAAGGCCCTGACATGGGACTGTAGAAGACACACAGCCCTACACAAATCAAGGTACCTCTTTCTTGACAGGTGACCACGAACTGCTGCCTGACAGAGAATGACACTACTTCTGGTTCTCTGGTAGTGTTTTCTGACCAGGTATCCCCTCACGACTGCCTGTGCCAATATGGCAGACTTTTCTCGCTGGTAGTGGCGACGCGCAAGGAAGCCTCTAGCCAGTGCTTGAATTGCAATGATTTTGGTACGATTTTGACAAAACTGCCGTCTTGCATGCCAGGTACGAACATTGGACTGGAGAAGACAGACGGCCCTACGTAACTGTTGGAACTTCTTCCGTATGAGATGACCACGGACGGCTGCCTGGCAGATAATGACTCTACGTCTAGTCTGCCGGTAATGACTTCTGACTAGATAGCCCCTTACAGCAGCTTGCACCAATCTGGCTGACTTCTCCCGTCGATAAAGGCAACGAGCAAGATAGCCTCTGCAGTGTGCTTGGATGAGTACAACAGCATCTCTGGTGTGCTGGTGCTTCTTTCTAGCAATGTACCCTCTTGCCCAGGACTGCACCACTATGACTGATTGCCTGGTCTTTGCAAACATCTGCCTAGCTCGTCTGCCCCGGAATGCAGCCTGCAGCGTAATGACAGCCTCCCTGCTCTTGTGGTAAGTACGCCTGGCAAGGCACCCTCTTGTCTGCGACTGCAGCAGTACAACACGACTGTATGAACGCCGGTATTGTCTTCTAGCAATGAACATTCGTACCTGAGCCTGACAGGTCACAATGTGACACCTTTCTGAGACAAATTTCTTCCGAGCTAGGAACCCTCTGGTGTGAGCTTGGAGTGTTAGGATACACCGCCTCGTATGAGCTACTTGCCACCTGACTGCCCTTCCCCTGGCTAGAGCTTGGATGGCTAGCACAGCTCTCATCTTACATAGCTCCTTCTTTGCTAGGAAGCGCCTCACGTTAGCCTGGAGAGAAACAACTGCTTTTAGTGTTTTTCTGTATCTCTGTTGAGCAATGAAACGCCTCACGTTTTTCTGAATGACAACAACCGCTCTTCTAGCAGTGCTATACCTCTTCTGGGCCAGGTAGCGTCGTGCATGACACTGTAGTGTGACAACAGCACACATCTGGTGTATAAACTGCTTCCTAATTAGGTACCCACGACTGGCAGCCTGGAGCTTAACCACAGCCCCGTGTTCCCTGGCAAGCCTTAGGAAGTGCCTCCGGGCAAGGTATCCTCTTGCCCTAGCCTGAAGAGCAACAGTTGCAGATCTGAGGCCCAGGAACGATCTCCGGGCAAGAAATGCCCTTACAGCAGCCTGAAGAGTGACAGCAGCTCTTTGAGATCTGATGTACTCCCTTCTCCCAAGCATACCTCTGACGCGAGCTTGAATTTTGATTGCAGCTGCACGAGTCTGAAGATAACGTCTCCTTGCTAGGTGACTCCTTACCCTTGCCTGGATTACCACGGCACAACACTGCATCCGGTGATACCTTCTCCTGGCAAGAAATCCTCTCACCGCTGCTTGGGCAATCCCCACGCGCCTCTTTTTAGTCAAAAACGCTGACCTCTCAGCCCTCATGCGGAGTGTTGCCCTCCACCTTGTTTGGGTGACTGCCACAGCAGCTCTCACGGCTGAAAACCTCTTCCTCTCACGAAAACCTCGGAAGATCCTCTGAACGTTCGTAGCTGCTCGATTCTCAAGTGCCATCTGTTCTCTTGCCAGGAGTTTAGCCCTGAACCAAGCCTGGATCACAGTGGAACTCTGTCTCAGAGAGAGAAAGGCCCTCTGCTCTGCCCTCATAGAGAGGGTGGCTCTCCAGTGGCACTGGATGACTCTGGCTGCCCTCTGAATGGAGAGATACATTTTCCTCTGGATGTGACCTCGAAACACCCTCTGGATGGTGATAGCAGCACTCTGCTTCACCTCATGCTCGAAAGCAATCTGCCGTCTAACCCGAGCACCTCTGAAGCGGCACTGAATCAAGAGAGCAGCACGTTTCAACGACAGGAATACCTTCCTCTGGTTTCTTTCCAGGACATTGGCTCTAAATCTTGCCTGAACCACTCTAGTACTGTGACACAGCGCTCTGTAGCCCAACCTAGCCCTGCACCCTCTGTAGTGAGCACAAATAGTGGTGGCTGCCTTGTGGCGAAAGGCCAGGTTATGCCGCACCTTCCACCCTCTGAAAGCTGCCTGCAACTTTATGCAAGCACTCCTCTGTTTCAGGTAGTGCCGGTGAAGTCTAGCCCCGGTTAAGAAGCTTCTGCTGTACTTTTGGAGTGTGCGGGTGGCCGACATAATGGCTCTGTACTTTGTACGAGCCAGGTAGCCCCTGAAGCACGTTTGGATGATTGTAACACTTCTGTTCCTTGCCTTTAACTGAAGCCACACTCTGAGTCTCCTCTGGAAGACTATTGTGGCTCCCCGCAGCTCCAGATACTTATGTCGCTGGACTTTAGTTAATCTATGTGACCTCCAGGTGTGCTGAATGGTACACACGGCATGTTTGAGTCGGTGGTATCGCTTTTGAGCCAAGGTTGAACGAGCAAAGGCCTGTAGAAGAGAAGAGTGTGTATAAATTTAAACTGTTGATGATTACAATACGCATATTTGTAACTGTCTGTACACATGCACAGTGAGGGTTACTGTACTTGGTTTGTCTGTCTGTCACCCGCTATTCTGGCACTACAGGCAAAAGAGTGATACCAACAGCATCAGTGGTGATTTTCATCAAACCACTGCATTCGAGAGCTATGACGTGGAACATATGCGAACAGGCGTACATGCTAATGAGCAATGGCTTACTACCTCGACCGGTGAATGCCCATCAACGCACTGTGAAAATTACTTGGAGGATGAGAATCGAGTCCAGCGTTGTTCCGGATGCTGATAACATATGCTTCTTGGCCGTACTGGTGCCGTGTTAAGCGAGCAACTTACAAGCAACGGATTGGTCTAATCTAGCCCATCGATTAACATTACTCTCTAGGCATGCATAGTATGTACTACGCTAGGCTACTTGCGACGAGGGTTTCCCCTTCATCATGTACCTGAATGACTAGAGTTGCCTCTTGTTGCCTCTTGACAGCTGCAGTGCTCTGTACGAATCTCCTGTGTGTTCTCCAGGCTCTCTGGATCACCACAGCTGCTCGGCCCTCCTTCCGGAGCAGTAGAAGTTGGTGGCAGAGGTACGACACATAGGTGATGACCACCTGATGTCGAGATATGCTCTAATTAACATTATATTGCACAAACTGCATACAGTACATAAGTGCAGATTTCAACATGTGTACATTCATGTACCTTTTCATCTGGGAGGGTATTTGACATTTCTTTCCTTAGAGCCAGCAGAGGAACTCCTCCGAGAGCACACAACTGGGGGAATGAGATGACAAACTCATTGTGCAAGTAGAGACAAAATATATGCAGGGAGAGAGACATACCTTCTCAGCCACGAGCTTAAAGTTGTTTTTCTCATTCTCCAGAAGCCTCTCTCTCACTGGGTCTTTACCAGTTGCTGCACACACGTACACATTGAGTCACCTCATACATACATACATATAATGAACCAGCCATTTCATACTCACTAGGGCTGAAGGTTCCTGTCCAGCACGTCGTGTTCTCATTGAGAGAATCGTCATTTGCATTCACTGACACAGCAGGCTATAGAATGAAAAAATACATTCTTCAGTGTACACTCGGTTCTAACCCATTGCTATCAGATGCATCATTGTGGTAGGAGAAAAGTAAGTAGTAAAAACCTAGAGAGTAAAAGTAGCTTATACGCTATACAAAGAATAACTTGAAGGGAATGCTGTTTAAAAAGAGTTTCTAAATTTAGCCACTGCCACATTCCAAACGGGGGGAAGTTCCTAGTGCCTGAGTACCGCACCTCAGAGAGAGTGGTGTAGTTGGTGATGAGGTGGAGAGGGAGGAGAGAGGGGTGGTAGTGGTGGATGAGGTAGCACAGCAGACGGCCGTCTGAGAAGGAATTGGTGAAGTTGCACACCTGCACACACACAGCACCATGTAAGACAATACCAGAGGGATGCAACACATTTTTTTGCAGGCAAAGCGACCAGTTCTGTTTTTTCAAGCGTTTCACACGCATTTAGAATCACGTAGAAATTTACGGATGTGCAGTTCCCATCACATAAAAAATATAGAAAATAAAGCCTGTTGAAACTACTAACTTTTGCTCTCCAATTACATGGGGACAACCTCATGAATAGTGTGTAAGAAACCCCGAGTTGTGTTAAGTTCATGAGTCAAAATGTCGCAACTCTACACTAACCTAATGCCCGGGTGTTTGGCATATGAATTACGCTGTACATGGCAACGCCTTGTGGGGATGAATCTCATTAATTCAGAACCACAAGCGCCGCACCTGAGCAAAGCCTTGTGGGGATGAATATCATTAGTTCAAAACCACAAGTGCTGCGCTCAACTTTGCCTTATAAACTCGTGATGCCAGAGAGAGAAGTTGCAGTATGCTTTGGCCAACAAGCCCGAAACAGCTGTCCAGAGCTCTCATCTTTTTTCTCTTGGCATCACATGGTCTATTGTTACATGACATACCCATACCATTTTGTGCCGTTTATATCGTCTACCATGCAAATCATGTTATACCTTCGTGCAAACCCGTGCGTATAACTTGATTTGCTTGCCCTCAGTTTGTATCTGTGTTTAATAACAAGTGGGGTCTATTGGAAGTATGCCCACAGTACTTGTAAACTCGAGTCATGGTACATATGTAGGCTCGATTTAAACGTGCAGTTGCAATGTCAATTAAGTAGGAAAATCCACATTACGAACACCCCAGGGACTCTGCGTATAAAAGGGGCAGGTACCGGTACAGCACATTTTACGTTTGCCAGAGAGCGATAAAGATGGTCGTTTTGCATCTTGTCTTGTGTTTTGTCTTTGTCGCTCCACTGTCAGGCTCCACGCTAGCCATTTTCCACACAAACCGGCTAACATGAGCCATTTATGACCATGCACCAGCAAGCAAACAAAGAAAAGTGGCAGCCACGGCTTGCAAGGCAGCTTGCGGTCCAGCACAGCCAATGATATCAAAACAAGTAGCTGGTATGTAGCTCGAAAACCCCCTCGAAACTTATAAACTAAGATCTAAAGACACACTGCAGCTCTGAATCAGCAAATACTGCCAAAACGTGATCATGCCCTACTTCCCTGGTTCAAAAGTGGTTGTCAATGGATAGCCACTTTTTACATAAGTGTGGTAATGGCTAATCGAAAGTGAATGTTTAATAGTTAACCTAGGAAACAATATAGGGATTGTGATAGGACACTCTGGCAGGCAATAAACCGCTTGTAATACCCTGAAATTAAATGTCGGAGATCATGTTTAGTTGTTAGTAGCTGCAACAAATATACTCTCTCCGTTTTCCTGGAGTCAGTGGCAATGACCCCACAATAATAGTTATGATGTCTAAGGGATTGGACTTCACTTTGGAAAAAGGCTTATTTTTAGGCACAGTCCAGAACCACTGGGGTGCTGGTCATCTCCCGCTGAAGAGGTTTTTATGCATTGCACAATCCAAACAGCATCATGTGCAATTTGTAGAGGCCGTTGGTGGTGCTGAAAGCTGTCTTAGGTTAATAGTATTAATACTAAACCCACCAGTACAAACTCAGAAAAGAAAGCATGCTAAACCACAAAGCATTTGAAGTACAAGGGAAATATTAATAATTGTCCCAGTTTACACTTGCATGTAACATTGCGTATGATGTGTAACACTCCACTGCCAATTAAAATATGTTCCATTACTGCCATCTTTGTAGTACTTCTGAAAGGTGTCTACAAATTTATCTAACATTTCCCCTCCGATTAGGCATTTCTTCAGACATTTGCGACATATCTTGCATTGGTAACAGAGTAACAGAGACGTTGGGAAAACAATGAAGACAATCCAGGATACTAGTGGCCAACAGTGCATACGGCAGGTGTTCTCTACCAAAGTATTCAATGCTGGAGTCATAGTACAAGCTCCACGAGTACAAATTTCCATATTTTGTTAAGACTCTGGTAGGAATTAAAAGATCAAATGACACACTCAACAGTTTAGTGGTGGAAAGGAAGAAGAATGTGACAAAGGCATCCATAATGGTGGTCTGTATACCCCAGTGACGACGAAATCGAGCAAAGAAATAGTGAAAGGGCTTCCACATGTACCGCAATGGTCTAAAACCAAAGCCATACAATTCAACCATAGTGTATGCAGCAGCCATTACTAACATAGGATAGATGGCTATAAGATAGTCCAAAACCAGGATGTGAAGAGGAATGACATTTATACAAACATCGGGTAAGATGTTAACTCGAAGAAAATCCAGATTCCAAATCCCATAAAGAGCTAAGATAAGTCTAACAAGCAAATCAACAAACACTACATTTGCTTGTGATAATACGTATAGTAGGATTCTAAGAAAGAACGGAACTGAAATACCCTGAGCTGCAAAAACAAACACATTGAGCTTTGGGGAAATAGCATTGATCCTGAACACTTGTATTATGACAATGAAGACTGTGAGAGGGAGAAAGGCAAAGACTATGTAGAGTCCCCAGTTTTCCATTTCACTGTCACATCTGATGCATTTAAACGCATAGGAATATGCTGGCACAGTGTAGCCATCCAGACACTGTCCACAGAGTGTTCCTTGTCTCTTCAGACTAGCACAGTCAGACGGTGCACCGTGATAAACAAAGTCAAACAGTGAAACGTTTTCACAGTTGAAAATACAATTGCCAACTAATGGGAACGTTGTTCCACTTGTAGTGTAATGAACTGTAAGGCAGTAACAGTCTATTACCGACAGTTCTTTTGTGACAGTATCACAATTCACAATTCCACCCAGATCACTGCCACAATGACAAGACTTTGTTTGGCTATTCCACACAAACCATATGTTGGAGTCATGACATGCTTGGTCATTTACACCATCTTGGAGAATATCAATACCTCTCTCATAGTTTATTGAAGAATTTAGATTCTTTTTGTCCCCTGACTCTATAGATTTGTCCTCCCAACCATTGTCCAACTGATTGACTCTAGGGGAACAAACTACACCACTTTTTGTGACGGTAACTAACAGTAGCAGGAGACTAAGAGCAACAGCTGCAAGAGTGTTCTTCATTACTGGTAACTGCACGCACTGGTCCACTGGCTACTTCATCAGATCACTATAAGTATGGAGTATGACTCATGCAAACATTGAAAGTTTTCTCATAACCCCTGATAAAAATATCCATATACACACAGAGTCAAACAATAAACATTCACGCAACACCCACACTCAGTTTTGGAGCAATGGTAAGCGAAAACATTCGCCCTCTTATATACAAAAAGGGTGTATGTACTATTGAAGACTGCGTTCCCCTAGGTATGTAGCTATGTACTCCCTTGAAAATATATTTACCACTTGCATTGTAATGGAAGAGAAACGGAGTAGCATGGACATTGTACAAACAATGGAGTGAGTATGAATTGAAGGATATTACGGTAAAATACATGTTGCACAGTGTGTACAACATGTAATTGTAAAGAATCTAATAACTTATTCCCTACTGTAGTTTTGGTAGGGAAGTTGGTTATTGATGTGGAATCATGGTACAAAAACCATCAAGTCACCCAACTGTGTAACTTGGAACCGACAGAGGGTTTTGCAGCAACAAAAATGTTACAAAGACATGTTTCACGCTGTGTACAACATGTACACAATCATAATTTTTACTAGCCTGCAGATAAACTATTACGTGAGAAATGTGTCAACCTTGAGCATATTTGTTTGAACGTGTCCATTCAAAATGTACGTATGGCATCACAGGTTGGTACAAAAGAGGGATTTGGCAATTTTATGGTGAGAAAGGCAGTATTTTTGCTTGATTACTAAGCAAAAGGCTGGATGGTTGGTAGGTACATACATGCACATAATATGACCTTGTTTCCTACAGTCGTTTTGGTAGGAAGTTGGTATTCGTGTTTAAAACGAAGGTTTTTATAGTATAATTGACAAAAGTAAATGCAACTCTTGGCTTTGGTAGCCCGAAAAATCATGAAGAGACATGCCAAAAGAAAAAAAGATGGGGAGCTCTGGACAGCTGTTTCAGGCTTGTTGGCCCTCATCAGCAGAGCATACCGCAATTTCTCTCTCTGGCATCATGAGTTTATAAAAGCTACCAGGAGCGCAGCACTTGTGGTTCTGAACTAATGAGATTCATCCCCACAAGGCTTTGCCACTGGTATGTGCTGACCATGCCCAGACATTCGTGGTTTTGAGCCTAGGCCCCTCCCCACTCCTGCTAGTAAAGGCCAGCACCGAGACAAAACCCGAACTCGCAATCTGGCATGCGGATTGGGCCGCGGCAATGAAGCCAGCATTCTGTAGATGTTGAACTGTCTGTATAACAGAAATGTAACCACACTTTGTCCCTACTGTGGTTTTCATAGGGAAATTGGTTTACAAGTTAACGTCATGCGTACCCATTCCACCAGTATACACAATAGGTGTGCTTAAACAGAATGCAATTCTCGTGCCAACCTTTTGCACGCAACAGATTAAAGCTGCCGATGTTTACACTTTGCACCTTCTAATTCAGTGAAAACTTGTGTAAAGCCTGTCGAGGAGCAGCAGAGAAATGCTACAGTACTACAGATAAACCAGTGTAGGTATCACGCATAATGCACCTGACGTAGCTGACCAGTGATCGTGCCCAGACTCCACCAACTTATCACGTGAATACTGTGGTTCTAGATCTTGAAAATGGTATCTCCAATCAGATTGCAGAATGGGCCACCACTCAACATCACATGCATCCATAGTCCGCGACGGGTCCCGTATGCATCACATACTAGACAAGGGGTTCGGATATGTCGTCTTCAGCACCAGGGTTTGCGTCAAAGCCCCCAGGCACTCCTTTCCAACTGTGGGTGGAGTGGCTGGGTACAAGACTAACAGCTAACCACTCTGGCCCTAAATGTAAAGGGCTTCTTAAGGAAGTACTAGGAATGCGTACGCACATATTTTGCCTCGCGCCTGCCAGCCAATGCGTAAACAGTCCGACTGAGGCCGCTCGTGCGCGCGCTCTACTGACTGCGCGTGAAGCCAGACTTCCTACGAACCTGCACGCATGGTGGAAGCTAGACTTCCTACGAATGACGGAATTGGACATTCCTAAGTGTGACTAATTGACATTCTTAAGCGTGACCGACACGTACGTACGTACGAGAATACAACCCGGAGTAGTTGCCTCACGCTAATACGCTCGGCAATTATGTTGTGCTCTGGTCACTGCCACTTGAGAAGAAAGCGGAAAATTAATTGCAGGGGCTACTCACTTTGGTGCTACAGACACAAGCAAATCACCCAGAAAACTTACCAGTCACCTTAACTGCATGATAGCATGAAACCCTGCACAATTTACGTACCGGGTAAGGACAATTCCAAAATAAAATTTAGTCTACATGTATAGTAAAGAAATATTTGGGAAGGAAATAGTCGTCTTTAGTGCCATCTGTTGTATATATATACTTCTTCGCAACATAATTACATCAGGTTACAGTTTAGTAGTCCGCTGTTCCAAGGATTATAAAGTTTTTTCCACAAACGTTTCATTCGATAAAGTAAGGAAAAGAGCTGTTGTGTAGTTGAACTGACCTGGACGCCGTAGAGGTTCCCTACAGCCCGGCACCAGTGGAGGATGAGGGAGAGGGTGGGGTCAGGGAAGATGACTGGCTCCAGGGACGACCGCCGGCCAGTGTTGAACTGGTAGGAGAGATGGTGTGGTCTCTGGCTCTCCAGCACCGCTATCTCCTCCTTCAGCTCCGACACGTTCAGCTGGAGCTTCACCTGGAGAAGATGTACACAATGTGGTGTTGTCCTGAGTGTTGCTCGTATTGATTTTGCGTTGCTGTTTACGTATGGAGTGGTCAGCAGCATTGGCCAGCAGCAAGCTCAGAGAGCAGCCACAGAAGCAAAAAAACACTTTGAAAACACTGTTTGATTCAAACACCGGATTAAAATAAGAAAATACATGCCAGCCAATGCCGTGAGCACAATTTATACTGCATGTGCACGTGTGCAGTGACCGTGACATGATTGAAACCTCTGCACATGTGTTTATATGTCTGCTACGTGGTTTTGAGGCCTCATCGTTTGTTTTTTCAACACATTTCTCTAACCTCATTGATTATCCATGAGGGCCACTATAGTGGCCTACTATAGTACCGTGTGCAACGTGTTAATGGGAGACCTTGAAGTGGAAGATGATGCTCCATAGGAGGGCGAGAGTCTTCTCCCTGTGGCCATCCACCACGGCCTCACCAGACCTCTCATACACTGGCATGCTGCGACCTAGGCTGCTCAGGGCCACCTCCACGTTGTGCAGTCTCTGGTGATGATGAAGAAAGGGCACATTTTTGAACAAAAGACAGAATGATCCAGGAGATTCTGCACACAAATCATTGAATGGGCTACACTACGCACTGTATAGATGCAACTCAGTCAGTCATTGCGGATACATTATGATGATGTGCAAATTACTACGCAACATGTATGTACACTGTAGACTTGTGTGCTTGCCACCATAGGAGTCAGTCAGTCTGGTATTCTCCCGAGTTATGTTTTCTCTTAAGAGTCATACAGGATGAAATTTGGGATAAAAAGTGCTACGGAAAAAAGCTTAAAAGCCATCACGAGTCTTAAAAGTTGCTACATGCAGCTATGTACACACTCAAAAATGTATACACAATGCAAGCAAGCTGTAACCGTTTCTCTCTTGCATGTTCACACATTAGTGCAATGTTCCCAATGTGTAATTTTGTACACCAGTAGTGACAGGAGAGAGTTGTGACCTGCATTCTGGTGGTAGCAGGGACTCTCAGCTGACGAGACAACTCCCAGTCACCAGTCAATATCTCCACCAGCCGCCTACAGAGAAAGGGAGAGCGAGACAGAGAGAGAGAGAGAGAGAGAGAGAGAGAGGGGAGTGGGGTGGAGAGAAGTTATTATAATTGTACATACATACATAGAATTTTTTGGGGCAGGTGGAAGCCTTCCTTTAGGTTTCTCTCTCCATGTACAGAAAGATTCAATGTTTGGTGTCTGTGCAAGGGTTTTGACGAAAATCGACAATGAGTGTTTTAAAAAAAACAATTTTTGCACCCAGCTGTACCAACTGCATCACTATAGTGCAACAACCACTGTGGGATAATGTGAATATAGATGGATAAGGTAGGGGGTAATGCAAAAGCTACACAGTTGAGATGTACATACATGGTATTTGGTAGGGAGGGAATCTTACGTAATTCTGAGTCCATCTCTGAGATCAGTGGCCAAGTTCTCCACATGATAGTCAAATTCATCCAGAGCCGTCTACATGTGCAACAACCACAATTATACAGCTTCACCATCAATGTACAGCAAACAATTATTACGTTGCATTGCCCTGCTGTGCCGTGCAGTGTTGCTGCATCGGGAGGTGAGAAATCTTTGCGGCACAACGTACGACATGGCACGAGAGGGCATTGTTAATTCTAAAGCTAAGAACCTATGTACATACATATGTATACTGGCTTTGTCTCTCTGTCGTTAGGCCAGTTAGGGTTAAAAGGCACTCAGACTTTGCGTTGTCTTACTCACAAATATGTACACAAATTGCGCTGTGTACGTGTGTTATGTACGTATACTTATAAAGTATAGTGTGGTGCCATACCTGAACGTGAGTGACCACATATCTGGCAAGTGAGAGGTGTCTGATAATGTCTCCTTCACCCGCCAGATACTTGCGTGAGAAACGCTGGAGCATGTCACGACTTGACTGGGAACAAAGAGTGACGGAGGAGAATTAGTGGGGAGGGGAAAATGATCGAATTGTCTGCACGGTACACTTGTTACTATGCAACTGTGCAAAGAATAGTCACCAATATTTAAACCAAGCACTGTAACCCTCGCTGCGCATGCACACCAAGAGTTAAAATGTGGTTATGCAGAGATGAGGTCCATTGTACACACAGAGGTGTATGTATATTACCTTGATGGTGGCAGAAGGCTGGAAGAGACAGGGGTTGTGGTCTAGGAATCGCGTCAACTTGGCTCGGTCCAGGAAGATGACCAACATCAGGAACTTCCTCAACACATGGTGAGACAGTCGCTGCGGGTGACCTGCCCGTTTAGAAGATGTTACAATACATTGCAGAACACAAGGGGTCGTTAATAATGAAAGAGGGTCAGGGTGAGGGGGCAAATATGTGCT